GATTTTCAAGGGGATTCATTAGTGGCTGGTAAAGCAGCAGTGACAGGGCATCCTTATTCCAATAAGCCCCTGGAGTGCATCCAGCAGCTATCGCCAGATGGGAAAACAACCATTTAGGCCTTAACGAGCTTGTGATTCTGGAAAGTCCTGAGAGCCTTACTAATTATCCCATCTTTTTGTTGTTGCTTTGGTTTTTTTGCAGGAGGGTGGGGGTGTAATGCCCCCCCGCTTTTTTTTTTTTTTTTTTTAGGTTTTCCTCACTGGGCAGTCTCCTGCTTTGATGAGTCATCCATACTGTCACATCCTACTTTCTGGGTAGATTTTCAGTCATTTGCGAGATTATGGGACTGTGTTTGTATTTCAATCTCCCTTTAATTCATATAAATGGCTTCCATCTTTAGCCCAAAAGGCACACACTTCTTTTTTTTTTTAAATCCATTCTAGAACCTATTACAACCTACCCAGGGCTCTAGAAGTTCTCCTTTTCTCTTTTTTAGACTTTCTTTTTTCTACAGAAAGTAACTCCTCGGTTAAGCAATGAATGAAGCACCTAGCCCTTTTTAGGTCAGGAGGACAGGATATAGTGCTCTGCCACTTTTATGAAAAACTCTGTATATGAGACAGCACCTGCCACCCCCACCATGAAAGTGAAGTGGAAAGTTTGCCTGTGTTCACACTACAATAAGTTCAATATACAACCTACCCCACCCCATGGACTAAAAGAGAGAAAACTCCTACTTATGCACTAAGTTTGCTAGCAGTGAAGTGTTTGGGTGCAGGAGAGGACCAATTAGACAAGGAGCTCTCAGTGGCTGGCTGGCTGCAGTGGGTGGTGGATGCCACAAAAGCATGCTCTAAAATCACCGTGGGTTACGGCTGATGCAGAGCGTGGTGTTCCCGTCAGGAGAGTCACACTCTGGAGATAAGGCCCTACCTCTAGAAGGCACCTGGGAAGAATTCAAAGAAAATATCTGGAAGGCCAGCATCTTGGCCTTGTGGGATTGGGACTTAGAAGGCAGGTCTAAAGTGCGAGAGGGAGTGGGCAGAGGCATAGAGTTCATTCCTGAGGTGATCTAATGTTGCCATCTTACGGAGGAGAAAATTGAGGCTCAGGGAGATGAAATCAACTGCTTAAACTCAGTACAGTTTGTCAAAGGCAGATGCTCAGATAGAATCCAGATCTCTCGCTCCCTAGGCCAGGACTCTGTAGGAGAAAAACCAGGATCATGACAAGGCAGCGTAAGCGGTAGAGTTGAAATGGGAGTTTCCAAGGCTGCCGGAGAGCCACTGGAAGGAAAGGAGTTGGGTACTCCAAATACTTCACATGTTTTCCAAGGATTATCCCAGCTCAGGGAGTAATGAAGGTGACCCTCCAAGAAATTGAATTTTGCTTCAAGGATAAGGAACAGATACAGAAAGAGGGAGGGCCTACTCGGTTTAGATGCCCCACAAAAGAAGGGCTAGGATGAAGGTGAACTTGGAAAGCTATGTGCAATTATAGCAGTTTACTGGAAGCATTGAAGATGCTTCAGATCTATAGCATCTCTGTAGATTAAAAGAGAACAGAGATAAATTCACCATCTGTGGTACCTAAGAATGACATAGTTAACCAAAACTAGGCGCCAAGGGCCAACTTTGCCAGGCATGCCCACTGCTCACACTCCCAAGAGGCATTAACTTGTAGAAACAGCTCACCCACAGGTCCTGGGGTCTCCCCCTTGTGGAAGACTGTTCATCCCCATGAAATGGGGAAGGGCAAGGGTTTCTAAGAGGCCTTCCAAATTAAGTCAGAAAATAAGAATATGGACCCTGAAGAGGATATGGAGTGGGGACAATAAGGAAGATGACTGGACCCCAAGTTTCCCTAAGTATATTGACTCTCTCCCTCACACCCTGAGCAGTCCGTGTGTTGGTGGGACTGCATGTGTATCTGGCTCCTTGGTAGGCAGGAGGCTGAATTGCAGAGCCCAGTGCAGATTCAGAGCCGAGGGCTGAGGAGAATGGAGGGCACTGGATGCTACAGCTGCACATGCCTTCTATTTGGGCATCTGTGGTTCTGTGAGGTGGACATTTATTCTCACAGCCAGACCTTCTAGTTTCTGAGCTTCTCTTCACCACCATACTCCCGAGAAGATGAGCGCTCCAGTTCTTCCAATAACCAATTACTTAACATGGGCATTTTGGGTGGTATTAGACATCAAGGCCAAGTGTAACCTGGGTCTTGAGGGAAAAGGGTGCTAAGAATCACTGGGTAACTGCTGCTGGGTAACGTTCCCTCACACCCCTCAACCTCCCCAACCACCTCACTTTACTAGTAGAGAGTATGGCACCGTCGTAATCAACCTTTGAGATGTGTTGACCGAAAACATAGAAGATTTATTTCTTGCTCATTGCTACAAGTCTATCTCAGGTTGATGGAAGTGCCATCATTTAGAAAGTCACCTGTCACCCTGGCAGTAAGTAAGCACTTAATCAATGGACCTGGTGTTTCTCTTCTGGAGTCAGTTTCCCCCCATCGTGTAGTTCTGTTGAAGATGGTATGACCAGGGAGGGAGAGGATGAGAATATTCATCACAGGGCAGCAGAAAAACCAACAGTAAAGATTCAGGAAACTGAATCCCAGTTTTAAAACCGCCTAGCTATATGACCTAGGACATATGACCTTATACATGTTCAAAACAGTTTCTGTGGCTTTGGTTTTGGTCGTTGTGATAATTGAATTGTCCATAATGTGAATGTGCATTAAGACCTATAGGCTTTGTTATAATACATTTTGGTCCTGAATTCATTGATTGTTCTCTGGTCACTGATAATGAGCCTGGTCAAGCAGGACTCAGGGCCGTCTCCATTCCCAGGCCTTGTGTGGTCCTTGGACTCACACTACACGGCACTTGATTGATGTCATGTCCCTGCAGCCATCATATCTGCGGCCTCTGGTGTGAAAAGGGCTCAGTTTCTGGTGAAGACATTGTAAGAAGTCCCTGTGTTTGTCAAACAGCACTTTTGTGAGCTTCAGAGTATGCGAACATGGAGACTTCCTTTTTTCTGCTCCTTGTCTGATCAACAAAAGGCAGCTCCTGGGCCAAGAGGCTGTTCCAGATCAAAACTCTCCTGACAGGCTTCCCATGTACCTGCCAGCATGCTGCCTCCTGAAACACTAGTATGTCCAGGCCAATCTTTCTTGTCAGGAATCACTGACAGGCTTCCTAAAAGCACTCGGTAAGGCAGAAGAGAACACTTCTTTAAAAACCAGACCTTTGAAAACAGACATTCTCAAACAGGGCTGGTAGAAATGTGTGCCCAAGCGGTCTTGCTGGCAGGCCATTTGGCAAAATGCATCAAAAGTGCATATGCCATTTGAGCCAGGAATTCCATTTCTAGGAACTTACGCCAAGGAAACAGTCTAAGATATGTCTGAAGATTGAGATGCCAGTTTTATTCTTTGCTTCACTTCTGTTTTATTCTTCAAGGTAAGCCTGGGGAAATGCCGCTATGTTTTTATATCATAAATTCCCCAATTTTGCTTACCCTAACTTAAATGGTCTCTGTTTCTCATAACTCATTCACAAACCTGGGTGTGGGTTCTAACCAATACCCTTGTTCATAAAGCTCCTATGACAGCCATGGGCAAACTAAGGCCCGCGGGCCGGATCCCGCCCATTTGAAATGAATAAAACTATTGAAAAAAAAGACCGTACCCTTTTATGTAATGATGTTTACTTTGAATTTATATTAGTTCACACAAATACTCCATCCATGCTTTTGTTCTGGCCTTCCAGTCCAGTTTAAGAACCCATTGTGGCCCTCGAGTCAAAAAGTTTGCCCACCTCTGTCCTATGAGAATCAAATAAGCTCATTTTATAGGAAACATTTGAAAACTCATTTACAAAGGCCATCCCCTTACTTTTGCAGAGTTAGGGTAGTATCTCAGTATTTGACTGGCTTATTATCCCCAATTCAAGCAATTCCTACTGATTTCAACACCTGCTGCACCCCATGTTCAAAAATACATGTTGCATCAAATTCTTGGGCTTTTGGGGTGTCCGTGGCCCAAAGTAACAGGATGCCTGAAATTGGTTACAATAAGTAAATGTGGCTGCTATAGCCAACAAACCCCAAATCTCAGTGACTTAGTGAAATAAAAAGGTAATGCCTCGCTCATGTCACAGTCTGATGATGTTGCAGGAAAGCTCCGATCAGCCCCGTTATCTGAGAACCTATGTTCCATCTACCAAGTGGCTTTGCAATTTCCAGGGCCTCAGAGTTCTCCACTGGACCCTGTGTACCCAGCCAGCAGATAAAGGTCTCCACTTCTCCAGTGAGAACATGGAGGTCTCCCGGGAAGTTTTTAAGGTGCTGGGCCTGAAAGTGGCATACCTTATTTCTGCCCATATTTCACTATTCGCTCGGTCCAGTGGCCCCTACCTCACTATGAGAGAGGCTGGAAAAATATAGGCTCCCTGCATGTCCGTTAGGACAGGGAAAAGGGGCTTAGTAACCACATCGCAGTCCTCGACTCCATTTTCCAGCCCCACGTCCCTACTCTTTTCTAGTTGTCTCTGGCCTGCTGACATTTAACCAATAACACAGGGACTGGCCAACAACCGCCTGTGGGCCAGATCCCACCCCTGGCCCATTTTGGAAATTAAGTTTTATTGAAACACAGCCATGCCCACTTGCTGTCTATGGGTGCTTGCATGCTATAATGGCAGAGTTGAAGAGTTTTGGCAGAGACCCTGTAGCCTGCCACGCCTAAACTATTTACTATCTGGGCCTTGAGAGAGAAAAATGTGATGACTCCTGCAAAGCTGTGTCAGCTTTCCACATTCCGAAAGTGTGCTGCCCTCTCTTGACTGAGTGAGTCTTTCCCTCCCTTCCTCCCTTGCCCTTGTGGGTCAGTATGCCTCCCCCCCCCCCCCCCCCCCAGGTAAACCGGCAGGTGAGAACCCCTCGAGAGACGGGTTCCGGGTTCCGATCTGCCTGGGAAGAACTTGGATGCTCGCGTATTCCTGGGGTCCGTGTTGCTCTTTTTCATAACATTGCTGAATTTTTTCATGATTTTAGGTTTAAGGAAACTCTTTGTGAATGTAAGTCCTTTCTCCTATTCAATGTCCAAATGAAATTTCCATATCACCTGGAAGTGCCGTATATGTTTTCAACTAATAGAACAGAAAGCAAATAATATGTATGTGGCCAATGAAAGGACCAAAAAGGAAAAAAAAAAAAGTTTCTAGGAAGAGCAAACACTGGAAAGAGCAGTGAGAGATGTTATGCCTCACCATCTACAGCCCCAGCTCTACCCCTTAATATCATCTTATTGTTGTCACTGAAAAAAGACTAACTGCAAAATCTGACTTGTTGCCTAAATTGTACTATCTTTGTACATTCAGAGATTCTATGTCTCTTAGATTATTTAAAATTAATGACTATATGTTACTTCACTGTCCTTTGTTGTGTATAATGTCACTAAACTTTGCTGTGTTTTAAACTTCCCAGATCCCTTTTTAACAACGATGTTGAGACTTCAAAAAACCTACATCCCCTCTTCTTGTCGCCCAGGATTCCTGTGATTCCCAGCAGCACCACCCAGCTCCCAGGGGCTCTGTCAGGCGCTTCCGTGCTGTTTCAAAGGACCTAAGTTTGGTTTCCAAAAGCACCGACATCTCTCCGCCCCTCCCAGTGCTCAGAAAATGAGTTTCCAACCCCTTGGTTTGCTGGCTTTGGCCAGCGCCCAGGCTCTGTGGTGTGGAAGGGAGCCACGAGCTGGGGCGGAGGCGCTCTCCTCCCCGCCCACTGGAGTCGCTGGTCTGGAGGTGGTGTGGACGCTGCCCTCCCACGCCTCAGGGAGCCTCTGGCGTCGGGGCTGGAAGATTGCAGGCTCTTCCCCTGGGCCTCACCTGAAAGAGCAGGTCTGATCTCCCGGAGCATGTAAGGACTTTTGGCTTTCTGCTTTCTGAGTCTTTTCCATTAACCCCCCTTTTCATGGATCATTGAGCCCATCTGAGAACAGAGCTCACCCTCCCTCTCTTTCACAGCTAGAAAGGAAGCTCCCTAACACAGGGACTTCTGTCTTCTCTCTGATGGGGCCTAGAACAGTCCCAGTTCATATTAGGTGCTCAATAAATATTTGTTGAATGAATGGCTGTTAGATAGATGTTCTACCTCTATGACACTTAGAAATACTTCTGTGTCAACTTACTGGTGTCCTTTAGAAGTGTGCCTTTTTAAAATTTCTTAGTCAAAAGAAAAGGTTTTATTTAGGTAAAACTTACACACAGAGATGTGCACAAATCTTCAGTGCACAATTTCATGAGCTTTGAAAAACATATTACCTATGCCACCAGCACTCCCATCAATATTTTAAATATGTCCTTCTCCCTGGGAAAGAACAATGTCTTCTTTTATCAACCCCTTCAGAGTTCTTATTTTATGTTTCCCTATTATATGGACTCGTGTCTGCCTTCACCTACCAAAGTATAAGCTCGGTGAGGCTGGGGCTACCGTGACCCGTCACGGCTCCTCCAGAACCAGGTAACTAAACAAATGCTGAAGTATGCACTCCTGGATAATCTGAAGATAAAGCCTGCATCAAAGGTGCACCGAGGAGCACGTGACCTACCTCTGAGTGCAGTGCTGGGTGCAGAGGCATGGGGAGACAATGCTGGGTGGAGGAGAAGGGGTAGCGTCCTAAGTTGAAGAAAGAGCAGAACAGGGTTCAAGAAGGGCTAGACAATGGGACATAGGTCACTATTTTACCTCAGGTCAGACCTACCACTCTTGCCAACCGGAGGATTCCCTTCCCAATCATTCAGGGAAAGATTAGCATGTTTTATTTCCACACTAAAACCCAGACCCCATGTTTGCGGGTTAGCAGTGCCTTGTCCCCAGTAGATGTTCAACACATGACTCTTGAATAGAATTTATTGAATACCCTTATCTCATGCCACAGCTGCACCTGACCCAAAAGACCCTGCAGGAAACGGGCTAAGATCTGGAACCAGCCAACAGTATCATGGTGAAGACACAGCCCCTGAGCCAGGCGGACTGGGTTCAGATTCCAGCACCACTGCTGGGTTTGTGACCTTGTGTGCATTATTTAACCTCTCTGTGCCTCAGTGTCCACATTGGCAAAGCAGAGAGGACAAGAAGGACATGCTTCTTGTGAGGAACGAAGCTGATTCGCATAAAGAGCTTTGCATAAGCCTAGCATACTAGTATACTAAGTGCTCAATAAGGGCACTCATTATTAATGACTCTTGGGGTAGAGAGAGCCTTACAAGAATACAGCAGGAGCTGAGCAAAAAATTATCTAATCTATTCCTGGGCCAGCTACAATATTGAAAAGGTGTGGCCTCAGCAGGTCATAGTCCCAACAGACAGGGAGCCTTGAAGAGTCTGGTAGGAGGCAGCAGAACAGCTCAAGGAAAAGCTTGGAATTTGGGGGCAATTGGGATTGAAGGCTAGCCTGGGAGAAATTCTCAAAGTGAGGATGAAAACTAAAAACGGGAGACTTGTCCCAGAAATGATGAGACAGTTCTGCCTTCAAAAGTCATACATCCGCCCTGACCGGTTTGACTCAGTGGATAGAGCGTCGGCCTGTGGACTCAAGGGTCTCAGGTTCGATTCCGGTCAAGGGCATGTACCTTGATTGCAGGCACATCCCCAGTGGGGAGTGTGCAGGAGGCAGCTGATGGATGTTTCTCTCTCATGGATGTTTCCCACTCTCTATCCCTCTCCCTTCCTCTCCATGAGAAATCAATAAAAATATTTTTTTTTAAAGTCATACATCCAATGCCTTCCCCAAGTTGTTGTTTTTTAATTAGGCTACACACCAGGAATGTGTTCAGTACTGGTGCATGTACAAATACATCATATGTTTGTCATGAGAAAAAGGTTATGGCAATTAATAAAGAATCTTGAAAACACAAATGAAGGAATAAGAATGTGTGATACATTCCCATGTTAATGGTCTCTGCTGAAATGTGCATCTCAACTCTATCCAGACTGTGAGAGCCGGGATCTGCTTCCCGGCATCCCTGCATCCCTGCATCCCTGCATCCCTACATCAGCGCAACGCAGGAGGGAGGAGGCATGTCTTGGGTGAGAAGCTGGTTCCAAGTAATTTTTTCCTTTTTCAAGCCACTTTCTCAACATCACAAGTATTAATTATCCCTGTCTGTCATCCCTATAACAAGGACCCTCTCCAGGGAAAAAGCTACTGACCTTTAAAAAATGAATTTCCTTTAAAGGCTTAGACTAAATACTGTCCACTCTGTGATGCTCTAAAAACACGTCCCTTGGCAGTCCAGCTATGACTCACACAGCACCGGATAGCATTTCAGGGAAATTATTTTTCTCCGTCTCTGAAACTAGGCCCGTAGTCTAGCCTCTCTTATGGGTTTTCCTTGTTCATCTGATGAGACTTTCTGACACTGTGTTGATGAAGGAGTCAGAGTTATAGCTTTCCACTCCATCGGGTGTCTCCATTGGTGGGGCAGGAGAAGTCAAAACTAAGGTCTCCCACCCCTTGGTGTGGAGGCGTGGGACATCCTCTCTGGGCTCCCAAAGTCCTAGCTGGCCTTCCCCACTGGGGTGGGCAGCCCCCCTCGGAAACAAAGGCTGTCCCAGGCACCTGTGGGAGCAGGTGGCACTGTGTCCTCCCTGGCACGCTCAGCCCTCAGTTTAACACAGAAGCTATCTGACCTGGAGAGTGAAAAAGGGATTCCTTCCCGGGAGACTGGGGTAGCTGGCAGCAGGTCTGTTTAGAAATTTACCTGTTGGCACAGGAAGAAAAGAACAGAGTAATTCTGTGAAAGTCATACAGTCAAACTGGTCGGCCCTCTCTGCGTGAAGGCCTGATGTGGGAGCCCGCCCCATGCCCCATCGGCAGGAACAGGTGGACTCATTATTGGATAAAAACAATTACCTGGGTGCCAGGAGGCAGGCAGTATGCCACCGTGGAATGGACACGCTTGGCTGTGTCTCAGCACTCCACTTCCTGGATAAGTGATCCTGAGCAAGTTATGTCAAACTTCCCCATCACTGCTACTTTCTTAACACATTTCTCTTCCCTGTTCCTTTCCCTTTTCCGCTGGCTGTTATGAAAGCATGGAAAATGGGAAGGAATAAAAGGTATGAAGAAAAAAAGGGTAATCCAGGCAGAGAGGAAGACAGAGCTGGGAGGAAACATCTGAGAAGGAAAGCTCAGGCGCCCAGCTGGCATGGCTCAGTGGCTGAAAATCTATGAACCAGGACGTCACAGTTTGATTTCCATCAGGGCACATGCCCAGGTTGCCAGCTCAGTATGGGACGTGCAGGAGGCAGCCCATCAATGATTCTCTCTCTCTCCCTCTACCTTCCTCTGTGAAATCAATAAAAATATATTTTGAAAATAATATTTAGAAAAAAGGAAGGAAAGCTCAGGACATTCAGAAACCAGAACAATGGTGGTATTTTGTGTTCGAGTAGGTTCTGTGGTGGCTTTCTGTGTTTTTCTCTCTGCTCATGTCCTTCCTCCCAGTACACGTTTTCTATTGCTGTATCAAATTACCCCAGAATTTAGCAGCTTAAAGCAATACGCATTTATTATCTCACAGTTTCTATAGGTCTGGAATATGGGTGTGGCTTCTCTGGATCATCCAGCACTGGATCTCTCACAAGGCTGCAATCAGAGAGTTGGCCACGACACGGATGGGGAAGCATCTACTTCCAAGTTCATCCAGTGGCCATTGGCAGGATGCAATTCCTTGTGGGCTATTGCACTGAAGGTCTCAGCTCCTTGCTGGCTATTGGCCAGAGGCAACTCAGTTCCCTGCCACACGAGCCTGCCACACGAGGGCAGCTTACGATATGGGCGTTGGCTTCACCAGAGTGAGCAGGGAGGAGGGGGGATAACAGATTTTGCCAAAACAATGTTGAAAGGGACTTCCCGTCTGCCCTATTGTATTCATTAGAAGTGAGTTACTAGGTCAAGCTCACACTCAAGGTAGAGGGGATTACATAAAGGCCTGGGACCATCTTAGAAGCCTGATTACCTCACTGCCCTCTGGTAAAAGCAATCCTCCTTCCTGTATAAAGGCACATATGATTCTGGTGGGGCTGATGTTCATAATACCTGCCATTCCCACCCACCCCCTCACTGGGGTAGCATGAAACTCAGGTCTGGTCAATCATCATAGCACATCTAGCTGGCTACAGTGATTGGACCAAGAAGTAGCTTTCCCTGATGTTTATATATACTGAAACAAGGAGACTGAGATCTCTCTGTCTCATCTTAAATCACTAAAATGGAATGATGTAACTTGGGGTTTTCCATGGCCATGTCTCCTACCAACTTTATAAAGAATTCCAACTATACCAGAAACAAGTGAAGCCATCACGTTCTAAAGTAGAGACAAAAGACTTGAGATTAAAGAGAGAAAAAAATAAACTAGAGACTTTTTTCAAATCCCTAAAGTGAGTTTCACCCTTGAAAGCTAATCTCTCTTCTTTGTTTGAGGCACTTTAGATTCTGTCTCTTAAAGTGAAAAGAATCTTGGTTAATACCGGCTCAGTTTTTACAACTGTAAAATCAAGAAACTGAGCTAAATGACTCCATGTGTGTGTGTGTGTGTTTTCATACTCCAAGCTCTAAGATTCTTACTTAAACTGTCTGATCCTTTACAAAGAAATAGACTTTTCAAAATTGGGGAAAGTGGAGAAGAAGCAGCCTAAAGGAAGAGGCATGCATAGGAGGGAGACAAACACCAAGTCTGCCTTCTTCACAGTGTAGACAAGGTTCCAAGTTTTAACTCAGAACACTAAGAATCCACCATAAAAGACTCATGCCTCTAGTGATCTTGGGTAAGGCCCAGACACATGTACTTCACATGTTTTTACAACCATGATAAGATAGTAGTCAAGGGCATGGGCTATTGAGGAAGTAGCCC